GTGTACATCTAAGTTGGCAGGGGCTACCAAATCATCAAGGGTAAGTGTACATCTAAGTTGGCAGGAGCTACCAAGTCATTAAGGGTAAGTGTACATCTATGTTGGCAGGAGATACCAAGTCACCAAGGGTAAGTGTACATCTATGTTGGCAGGAGCTACCAAGTCACCAAGGGTAAGTGTACATCTATGTTGACAGGAGCTACCAAGTCACCAAGGGTAAGGGTACATCTATGTTGGCATGAGCTACCAAGACATCAGGATTAAGGGTACATCTATGTTGAGAGAAGCTACCGAGTCACCAATCTCATATGTTTCTGGAACTGGTGCATTATTTGCTGGGTATTGCACTGATCTAATCACAAATCTAATCTGCTGTTAATTGTAGTTCATCTTATTTTACAGGATGTTTCAGCTGCAATTCACCCTGCTATCAATCCTAATGGAGTCAACCTGTTTCTATGGCAACATCTTCAGTGTGATCTTCATCTGCTGTCTAGATCTAGTGGTAAAAGTGTTGATGATGCAGCTTTGACAGTACATATGGTGCTCCATAGAATACTGAAAGAAAAACCACTAGGTAACATTATGGAATGTTTTAGATTACAAATTGTGTTTGTTTTTCTTAATTTGTATTGTGAATTTAAATTCTAGTCATGTACTTAATATATCGTATTCCAATCCTGTTGTGTCAGGTGGTCAACATTTTGACAGAAATCTGAAGTCAAAGAAGAGCAGAGCTAACTGGGAAGACATATTCACACGTTCCTATATCAGTCCAGTTGTTGAAGTGAGTTTTGTTTTTTTGTTCTGTGGGCAACTCTCATTATTTCACAAACTGGATATCAATTCAAAATATAAATAAGAATAAAAAAAAGAGAACTGTGAGATATTTATCACGATTATTTACCATATTTGCTCTGTTAAAAGTGCCCCTCAAATAGTCTTCTAAAAAACAATATTTCTTTTTCTTAGAATCTAGCTCGAAAATTACAGGCAGCCAATCATAAAGTGCAGAATGACAAACGGCTCGGTAACAATCCATTATTGAGACTTTTATACGAGGTAGATCCACCTTCTGAAAAGTTGACAATTGAGTCCTTATACAATGTACCTACTGTGTGGAGATACAGATCTAGAGTTACAATTGAACATCTTACACATGCTTTACAAGAGAACACCGCTGGACGCAAGAAACAGTTCCCAATTCTTCAAGAATTCCTCGATAAGGCAAGTTGTAGAATTATAAATTGTTTTTTTCTCTCTTGTGTTTCAATTACCATACATGGCATGAATGTGCTTAAACCTCCTAAAGTGAGCTGCATTTTCATAGATATTATGTGATGAAATAATAATAATGTTATCAGTCAGGTACATCAACACAATTATGCTTTCTCTCAAATCCTAAGATTTTTATCAACTTTTATAAATGTCATCTTATTTCAGGAATATAAATTACGTGCATTAAAGTACTTACCTGATATTGTGCATTTACAACAACTATTAATAGATGAATATCATAGAAATATTGATATTCATGAAGCAACTAACTTAAAGATTGGTAGATTCCTGAATAAGTTGCCAAGAGGTAGGTAATACATGGGAAATCCTTGTAAAGTATTATATTTTTAATTGTGTAACTGAGAAATTTATTTTTTTATTATTTATTTTGTATAGTTATATTTCAACTCAAATAAATTCTCATTATACAAATATAAACGGATGACAGATGGTAGTATTACACAAAGAATATAAAGGAAATAAGCGTTGAAAAATACATGTGCTTTGCTGAAAAGTACAAAATCAGGAAGTGAGAATACAGTATTACAGTAATCAGGAAGTGTGAACACAGTATTACAGTAACCAGGAAGTGTGAACTCAGTATTACAGTAATCAGGAAGTGTGAACACAGTATTAAAGTAATTAGGAAGTGTGAACACAGTATTACAGTAATCAGGAAGTGTGAACTCAGTATTACAGTAATCAGGAAGTGTGAACACACAATTACAGTAATCAGAAAGTGTGAACACACTATTACAGTAATCAGAAAGTGTGAACACATTATTAATCTGGAAGTGAGAACATGGTATATAGTGAAAAAATAGTAATCAGAAAGAGAGAAAATTGTGTTAATTCAGAAAGTGAGATCTGTGTTACAGTAATCAAGAGGTCTGATGAACCACAAACTCATACTTCCACATGTTGTTTTAGGTCATGTTCGTGACAAATACACAAGACTTATCAAGAGTTTCAGTCTAGCTTGGAATCTTGTCAGGAATGAAATAGCTAACTATGGTGAGTTTCAGTCGTTTGTTCTCATTAAAATACTATGTGAACCAAGAATTATCTGTACCGAAATTTAAGTTTCAAACTAAGATTTTTTAATTGTATAACATCTACTTTGCTGTAGCCAATGGAATTTCACTTATGGTAGTAAAAATGAATTACAAATTCATTTGTGATTCCAATATTCTGTAAGGTTATTAAGTACCTATAGCAACACACATCATATATGTATATGGTGTAGGTGTATATGGTGTAGGTGAATATGGTGTAGGTGAATGTGGTGTAGGTGAATATGGTGTAGGTGAATATGGTGTAGGCGAATATTGTGTAGGCGAATATGGTGTAGGTGTAGGTGTATGTGGTGTTGGTGAATATGGTGTAGGTGTAGATGGTGTAGGTGAATATGGTGTAGGTGAATATGGTGTAGGTGTATGTGGTGTAGGTGAATATGGTGTAGGTGAATATGGTGTAGGCGTATATGGTGTAGGCGTATATGGTGTAGGTGAATGTGGTGTAGGTGAATGTGGTGTAGGCGTATATGGTGTAGGCGTATATGGTGTAGGTGAATATGGTGTAGGTGAA